GTGGGGGGGCCGCGGAGTTGTCTTGGGAGCCGCAGGTTGGTCACAGCTTGTGTTGAGGGAGGCGTCACGTGTCCAGCTCCCGGGTCTCTGCTGGTCATGTGGGCCAGAGCAGCGTGCTCTCCGCTCCCACCCCAGCCCGGCGCCCCCCTAGCATGGCACCTGGCAAGTGCCCCCTCCTATCCCCCTTCACTACGACTCTGCCGCGCGCCTCACTCCCCCGCCCCCACCAGATGCGGCAGTGGAAAATATTCCCCTCTGGGCTTTCGTCTGATAGAAACAGGAAATACCAGACATTTCACATGTCCGATATTTCCTGGGTTTTTTTACCGGATGGATCCCACAAATCCCAGACTATCTGGGTGATACCGGACACCTGGCAACCCTATAATACGTCCCTGCGACTTTGTTCCCCCGCCCTTTGCCCCAAGTGAAGACAAAAGCGACGATCGTTCAAAACAGGTGGTGGGCCTAGCGTAGCAATTACTGGGTGAAGCTCTCTGCTGTGTGCTATGGAGGGGGTCCCATTGGCTGATCATTAGGGTCTCTTCTGGCCATTGAATCTGTGAATCCCAGGGCCTGTCTTCACTGCCTGCTGGCTGCACGGGCAGCGATCTGCAATGGGAGTGCATGGACGTGATCAGCCGACTGCCAAGCGCCCTCCTGTTGACTCTGGTACTTCACCAAAACAAAGAGTGTAGGCAGAGGTGCCTGGAGAGCGGCAGCTGTTGCTTTACACTGTGAAGACACCACGGCGAGCAGACCCAGGTACGCTGGCCTGAGCTACGGTATTCGCATGGCTTAGGTAGCCGGCCCGTGGTAGTACAGACAGGGTCGGAGGCTTCCTCCTCGTGCATTAGGACAGGCAGGAGGGAACGGGAAGTGGACAAACACTGCAGCAGCCTGAGCCATGACTCATTCATAGGCAGCTACGAGGGAATTGTTGAAAACTTAACAAACCCCAAATCACCAGGTTTTAAAATCCTTGTTGGGTTCCTTTTCCTGTCCAGCTGGTGCCGTGGGCTTCCGGGCTCACATTTTAAAGCTTTTCTTCACATCCATGATGGCCACAAAGTTTCTTTGAAAGCGAATGCTGAGATTCTCGGCGTAACGGAAGCCAGGCTCTAACGGAAAGCAGCGAGTAGCACGGGACTTGCGGTAAAGCTGAGAGTCAGCACCGCTGGCACTGGAATACTGCCTAGAACCAAAGTGCCCGCCTAACAGGGCAGCTATCTCAGTGGTGGGCAAGGGGCGGGGGGCCGCGGCT